AATGCTTCATGGTGGGTAAAAGGGCGTTCCTAGAGATGGCAAGACACAAGATAATCAGGCCCCAGAGGCCCCTGACTCCTCTGCCTGGTTGTGGGAAACTTTCTTGCCTCCTGACATGGAGAGAGCTCAAAATTCCTCTTTTGCTCCAGTTTAACAAGAGCTGTGGGTGCTTTTGACCCCAGGGCAGAGAGGCGATAGCTTGTGCTTTTGTAAGAAGTGGAGCTAGCTGGGTACACTCCAAGGCAGGGGGAGAAAAATCAACTTTCTGCTTGCCAGGGAAGAGCAGCTTCCTGTTTGCAGCACTGGGGAATTCTTGATGAAATGAGCAAGGGCAGGAAAATCCACCTGGGAAGACTTCTGGCATATGAAACCTGAAAATGTCTGGAAAAGCCCAGACAGGAGGGAAAATAGAAGGTGTGCAGGCCCTTGCTCACATTATTCTGGTCCAAACATGTCAGTGTGTGGAGGCCAAACCAACAGAAACTGCAGAAGTGTGCCCGATGTTATATAGTTTCCTTTCTGACTCTGGCAGCATTCCCTGCTCCCTGCAGCAGCAGCCGTGAAACCAGAGAAAAACGTTCTGCCCTGTCCGCTTGCCTTCCTATTCAAACTGTCCTGTAAGTCTGAAACAAAAAGCTGTTGAAAACTGCTTAGCAACTGCCCACGGAGGGTTTTGATTGTGAAAATACAAAACAAAAGGCTCTGTTACCAGCATATTGGGCATCTCACTGAAAATAGTGCTTTTGGCGAATGTTGGGAGTACGCTGTAGGCCTCTGAATGCACTTTTTCTGAGCTTTTCCTTGGAAAGGGAGCAGTCAAGGATTTCCTCAGTTGACTTCTTGAGCGCCCTACAGCAGAGAGCCCATGTGTTGGAAGCGAGCCATACCCTCAGGTCGTAAGCTTGTTCCCTCATCTGGGAGTATGTACTCATTTTTTCTGTGCATACGGGGTGCTGCGTCTGTGCTTTTGCAGCTTTAGCAGCTGTAACCAGCTGGAGGAGGAACTGCTGGGAGCAAAAGCTGTGCTGTCTTCTGCGGTCCGATTGACTTGTGATTCGGGAACTCACAAAAATAGCGTTCTCCCAAAAATACTCGCGTCTCCTTACCTCTTCCCATCAAAATGCACACATAAATGCTTTCTCAAGATCCATACAGGTCCATATTACAGTCCTGGTGCGTGATAGCAGCATGAGTTTGGCGTGTAAGCTTCATGTGCATTTGCTCTTCAGATGCTGGAAAACGGGTAGCAGGAGGCCATGACACAGCCACACGGTGGTCCTCTCCTGGGAGGATGTTCATACGGTTATTGCATCAAATGCAGCTCCATCCCTGGTTTGCAGCTTTAACACACTCTCATCCTGAAAAAATGCTGTGTATGACTGGGACTGTTGTTTTAGAATACTCTCTCTTACTACGCCTGTGGTGGCTGATTCTTCATATCCTGCTGATTGATACTCACTGTCGGGGAATTGAAGTGGTGCTGGAAATCCCATAAAGACAGCTAACCCCATAATGCATTAAAGGAATACAAGTAGCACTCCAGGATTTGTTTTAACTCCTGTTCACTGCCGAACTAAGCAGTCAGTTTTGGAGAGAGACAAATAAGGACAATTCTTTCTGTCCAAAATGAGAGAATTAGTGATAGAAATGGAGAGAAGTGGGAGGAGCTAGCATTGTAAGGCATGGGATTTTTTATGAAATGAAAGAGTTTTTACTGGCCGGACAGTAAGATACAAACACAGCTCTGAGGTCTCTCCTCTGCTACTAAAATAGAAGTTGCAGCACTCAGGGGAAAACCTTACCTGTTTTTTACATGTAATAGTCATTATCCAAACGCATGTGCATCTCCACTTCCCAGACTGAAACAAGGTATTTACTGTGCCCTTAGTCTTGCTGCTTGTCTGTTTACTAGGGTATAACTTGTTCTGTGAAATGCCTCTTGAAGTAAAGATACTTAGATAGGCATGTTTTAAATCAGGAACAGTAACTGTAGAAATAGGTCCCTGTGTGTAGTTTTTGTAATATTTTGGGATGTTTCAGCACATGCAGTCAAACCACACATTGCTTTCCCCAGTATTAAGGTGGGAGTAGGCACTAGCTAGTGCTGTTTACACTGACTTCAAGACATCAAGAAAAAACAGAACTATGTGGATCTTGTCAGCTCACAGAATGCATGTGTTTTACTGGTATAAATGTAAATTTGAGGCATCTGTAGATTGAAGGATTACCTAGTGTTACCTAAATAGCTAGATGGTTCAGAACTAGCATCTGAAAGTTGTTTCACTAGCCTGTGCAGGCACAGGGTGCTTACCACTCCACTGGCTCTGTATCTCTAGCAAGCAGCAAGAGGGGGATGTTATGGCCCAACTGTAAAGAAATATCTCTGGATGTTTAGCTGAGTTTGGACTGAACATGACTGGTTGCAAGGTGTGAGTGCAAAAACAGACAAAAGGTGATGTAATAGTTTTATCAGGTAGCAGTCACTATAACAACCAAGCTTTACCATGCGTGACAAGTTCCTCCAAATCTTTCTTCTGTATTTCTTTTCCAGGCAGCTTCTATTACAGTGGGTGTGTTAAGGACTTCAGCTGAAGTAAACTCTGGCCTTACAGGGTTCTTTCCCATGGGAGTGTGTGAAGTGTTTTCACAGCTACACCTTTTCTTGCCTGTATGTTAAATCAACCTCATGTTATTTTTAGTTTTCTCTCCCCATCTGAATACTGTGAATATTTATTCCGTTGGACTTGCTGTTCGTGCTAGGTTGCGGTGCTGGGCTTGGTGCTGTTGAGCCTTTCCCAGAGCCCCTGGCTCTAGTGTCCTTTGGAGCGAACAAGCACCAAACTTACCCTGCTCTGTTCTGTCATATCAGTAGTGCCACACGTTAGATAACAGGTCTGACCTCTGCCAGGTCTGATCTTGTTTGTCTTCTACTGCAAGTAAAACCCAATTTTATTTTTATTTTTTTCTGGTGCTGTTTCATTTGCAAAACATAGATTTTGACCATAGACTGTGCTGAGTCTTTCTGACTGCTAAGATAGGATATAAAAAATGAAATCTATATTTGGGGTGGATGGCAGCGAGCTCTTAACTGCTAGGGGAAAAGATTTGTGTAATTTGGAAACTGAGAGTATAAAACTTCAACGAAAGGGCACATAAAGAATACCAGTGATTCTCCATCAACAAGGCCTCTCTTATGTCCTTCTTAATTTGGCCAGTAAACCAGCGGCTGCAGTGTGTTGGGATAAACTGCTAACTTGGAATCTTTCCCCGGCTGACTTTCTGAAAGCCCTTCTGTTGCTGAAGCCGGGCACAGCGAAACGCGCCAGATGCGCAGTCCTTGCCTCTGGTTGTAGAATGCTGCCGTGGGCAGGCCAGCCTCGGAACTGCAGCATCCCTCAGGCGTGTGCAGGGCTGGGGGGGCTTTCTCAGACTTTAGGCTATTCATTCTCAGTGGGCTTATGTGGGTGCTAGTGGTAGTCGTGTTGCTCAGGTGGAAACCAACTGACTCGCTCAGCAGCACTGCAATGAAACCAGGAGAGAAAGGCAAATCACTGCAAAGCACAGACAAACGTTTCTGTCTGTGCAAAGTTCCCAAGTGTAAGGTTCAACACTGCAGAATCTTAACTTTATCCCAGTGTAGCTCAATTGCATGTCAGTTTTATTGCCCTTCTTTTATTTTCAAGCCTGGTGTTTTTCTCTCTGGGTTGTCTCCTCTATGAGGACAGATCACAGAGAAAGGCTTTTGGGTCTCGCTGTCAGCACCCTTGCACAAGAGGTGGGACAGTCCCTTGTCTATATGGGAGCAGGCTGTGGGCAGCCACTGGCATCTGCAGCAAGGAGGCCCCTGGGAAGAAGTACCTGCTTCACACTGTGCTGGGAAGTGCTTTTTAAAGACAGCTTAAACCGCAAGCTGTAATGCTTACTTCTCCCCAGAATTTCTGCCTTCTTAGCTTTTTCTTTCCCTCACAGAGATATTTGTAGCATAAAAACATTTTAAGATACCTTACTTCCATTTTGGCACGCTTGATGTAATTACTTTTAGTCCATAACTGAAAAATAATTATTGGTAACTGTATCGGCACTTTTGAATCTCACTACTGTGGCTTATTTGAAAGAAGAACAGTACCTCATAGAAGAAAATGCCTGCGCTTTATTTTCTTTATTTCTTGTCTTGCCCTTTTCTGTCTCTACCCTTCTCTTTTGTCCTTAACTTTTTTCTGATTCCCACTGCCCCATGCACTGGACTTCTGGCTCCTGAAAAAAAAAACAAACTAGTGATCTACTGTAATACAGATTGTAGTATAAATTACTTGGGTGAATCTGAGGCAGTAACTGAAACCAGTGGAATTGCTCTGAGGGTGGTGAAACGTTGGAACAGGTGTCCAGAAAGGTGGTAGATGCCCCAGCCCTGTAAACATTAAAGGCCATGTTGGACATGGGGCTCTGAGCAATCCGATCCAGTGGAAGATGTCCCTGCTCACTACTGGACTAGATGGCCTTTAAATGTCCCTTCCAACGCAAACTATTCTATGTTTCTCTAGTAATTTCTAAGTAAAAAGTTTGTTTAGTAAATGATCTTTAATAGCAATCCTGATACTGTATTCTTCATTACACTGGATTTCCCTTGGCAGTTTTCTTTGCTGTCTTATTCAAGACACAATAGGTGGTGTGTGCCAGGTATTCTTAAATTTTACTTATGTATCTTTGTGATTATTTCTTAATGTGATGCAATGCAATGTATACAAGACTATGATCCACCAGAGTAGTTTTTCTTTTTTGTCCACTGTATCTACGATCCCGTATTCTAAAATGGTGAATGTTACAAAAACCAATCTGTGCAAGTTTAATGTAAGAACTATCTCCTGTATTAGCCAAGTAGGAGCAATGAAATTATTTTCAGCGTGTGAGCCCAGCACAGGATAACCATTTATGTATTCACAAGCTGCAGCGTTATTTCTGCTTTGAAAACAGTTTTTCTCTCTCCTTCTCTCTTGTTCCAGTGAGAAGAAACTGAAAGCCAGAGTGCAAGAGCTAGTGAGTGCTTTGGAGAGACTCACAAAGAGCAGTGAAATCAGACATCAGCAGTCTGCAGAATTTGTTAATGACCTTAAAAGGGCAAACAGGTAAAGTATCTATCAGCAGATGGATGTACCATTGATTTCTGTGTGCTGTGTTCTTGTAATGCACTGTAATTCTCCCAATATCTTAATGAGCAGTTTCTGGATCCTTGCATTCACACATGTTGACCCTTTAAGATTAGAGAGACATGGGAGGTATAAACACATGCAGGACACTGAAAACAACATAGCCAAAGCTAAGAGTGCTTAATCTTAACTGAGTTACTAGTAAACATATTATTAAAACAAACCCCTCCACTTAGCCACACTTAGGAACCTGTTTTGTGTGAAATTTTCCCTTTGCTTTGGCTCCAGCCTCTTTATTAATAAAGTGGCTTCAATAATCACACAACTGTTATTGTTCACTCAGTAGATTTTACAGCTCTGTTTGGAGGGACTGAGAAAATGGTGGATGGTAGCTGCCCTTCCTGCAAGGCGACGATCTGCTTGCAGTATAGTTTGCAGTAATAAACTACATGTGAAAGCCCTTGCAGTGAGGAGCAGCATCCCACTCAAGTTTTCTTACTGGTGGAGGCACAGCAGACAAATAAGCATAAGATACCATCCTCTGAATATAACTGTTGGTTTGTTTATTTGTTTGTTTTTAATGGAAAATGCAAAATCAGTGCTGGATTTTGTAAGCAGATTCTGGCCATGCAGTGCTTTTTTAAATTATCACATGCTTAATGTTGTTGTGTCCTGACTCACAAACAGTCCTCTGGGAGGTCATCATCAGCAACCTCTAGCTGTCTCTTTGAACCACGTTTAAAAATGTTTTCAGTGACCAGTTTACTGGTAAAGGTGTGTACTTGTCCCCAGAAAGATACAGAGATTAATAGTGATCTGGGTTAGATCAGTAAGGTTTAGATCTAAATGCATTTTAAACTGCATTTTAAATTTTAGTAAGACAATCAGTCCCCACACTGTCGTGGAGTTTCCCAAAGGTGAGGTTTTGGAGTGGATTTTTGGCACGCTTGCTATTAACAGACCTTTTTGAATGACCTTGTATTGCCTTGTCTTTCTAACAGCAACTTAGTAGCAGCTTATGAAAAAGCAAAGAAAAAGCATCAAAATAAGCTGAAGAAACTGGAATCACAAATGATGGCCATGGTGGAAAGACATGAAACACAAGTAAGGATGCTCAAACAAAGAATAGCTTTACTAGAAGAGGAGAACTCTAGGCCACACACCAATGAAACTTCACTTTAAATGCATCTCTGTCAAAGATGCTTAGTGCCATTACAAATTTCTGTCTTGTGAAGGCTGACTTTTAGGTAGCTTCGAACGCTAAAAGCACTGACTGTCAATGCTGACACACTTAAGCACCTTCTCTGGGATCCCAGAGATGTGCCACGGGGATAATATGTGTTAACCTTAAGGACTGGGGATCCCAGAGATGTGCCATGGGGATAATACAAGTGTTAACCTTAAGGACTGTTTCATAATGTAAAATTGCAGTGCCTGAATCATCATGCTATAATGATGTACATTCTGTCATTACATCTGTATTCATACAGCTTCTTTTCCATTTTATCTGTGTCCCACGGGTGACAACGTCGCAAAGAAAAATAATTCATGCTAAGAGGTTTTAATTTGGGCAGTTCAGAAATAATTTGAGGGATTTCCCAATCCCTGAGCTCCCTCTGCACACAACTCTGTATTGTACCCTCAAAAGTTGCTGCTGTGATTCAATCAACTACATAGGCAGCTGCAGAGTGGGGAGATGATAAGCTGTCTTGCTTTTTTTGCACTGTACTTGCAGTACTATTGCTTACAGTGCAGATCAGGTAGGAAAACTATTGATTTGGAATAAAACCAAGACCTTAGCTGCATCTTTGAAAACTACAGTAACGGTGTATTTCTTACAGTTCGTAAGAGGACTAAAGGCTGTGAGTTTCACCATGCCAGATAGATAGTCTGGTTGGGTAAGAATTTTCAGGAAAACTCCTGGTATTTATATTGCATGATGGTTGCAATTATTTTGTGAAACAGTTGGTTTTTCTTGTTAATATCTTATAGCCAATGTTTTCTTTAAGAAGCTGGGCCATTATTTTGTCACATGTATAGTGATTATTAGAGCTTTCTGTGATCAAGACGTAGAATGTCTTCTTTGTATATTTGTTTTGACCAAAAAAGGTACTTATTAGGATTGTACCTGTTTAATATTGAATACATAGGCACAACAGTATAAATAGGTAGGTGTATGGATATACAGCCACAGTCAGAATGTGAATGGTGAAGTCTTCATACAGCTTCTTAGGTTAGGTTTTTTTACTGTGAGCATCCTTTTAAGTCAGTCACATCATGTTACTGTATTATCAAACTGACTGAATTGAAGACGTTGGCCTGTAACAGTAATGAGCATTAAGCAAAGCATGGTGATCAGATTGATTTCTCTAGGGAGCAAAATACAGGAGTCTGCTGCTGCACCTGTTCCATTCAGAATTTGCTTCTTCTTGACTATGTGAAATAGTTTCCATGTTTGTTCTAACATGCCAAACTAAAGTCCATAAAACTTAATTAGCCCGTTACTGTGTTATACACCTCTACTTTGTATTATTCAGGCTCTCTTTTTCAATTACTCTGATTTCAGGAGTTGTTTGTCCTTTTTTCTTTACACATTTAAGTTGCACCTAATTTTATTAGTGTATTTAGAATTAGGGTAACTTCTCATTTATTCCTCCAATGTCTACTGCTAAGGAAGCATTTTTAGAGGACTTGAACCATTTTTGTCTACTCTTGGGTTGGGCCAGGCAGCCAAAACAGTTGGGGGATTTCATGTTGAGAATACAGCATGGTCAAGTCTTTGTTACATCTGATATTGTAGCAGTTGGTGTAACTCTTGTAATTGTAGCTGCTGCTTTCTACTTTTCTTGGAATAGCAATTCCTACTTCTCTAGAGGCTAATAAATACATCAGCAACGAAGCCAACATCATACATGATGGATTGCAATAGCAACTTGGAACAGTGCTGATATCAAAATTCAGTGGTAGGTAGCGATGCCCTGGCATTAGATTTGATCAGTCCTCTCTAAAGATAATTGCACTTCTTAATACATACTGCAGATGGAAATTTTTGCAAACCAGTCTGTTGAGGTAGCAGGCACATGGATTTCTTACTGCCTTTATAGTTTTGATAAGTATTTGTCTTATGGTGTTTCCCTTTTTTGGCCAACAAGTTTGTCACCAACAGGAACATCAGGTTTGCCATAAGCTTCGGTAGTAGATGGTCACACTTGTTTCTGAAGAAATAGAAAGGAAATTGTCCTCTGTACTGTGGCAAACACACAGTTACAGTTGTGTTGTCTTGCATCAGAAACAGCCATGTAACAAGGTTATCTCAAATTGTCCATGTAAAATACCTTCCACTTCAGGTGACTAGAAGCTACTGCTGTACAGGACTTCCTCTTAGGCTCAATTTTTCTTTTCTTGGAGGTAGAAAAGCTGTTAAATATAATACAATGAATCTCAAAGCATCTGAATTGAAACCTGTCTTTAAAGAAAAGGTACAAATTAAGAAAACAAAATGCACTTGGGTTTAAAGGTATAAAGCTACAGTGTCCCACAGTGCCTTTTTCAGGCCTAAATTTGCTGATTACACATAAACTGAATATTGCTTTACAACAATTACTGCATGTCTTCCCTGCCAACTGTGCTTTAAAAGTGTTTTAGAATAAATTATATCAGTACTGCTTCATTTGTTGGCATACTGAAAAAGGCCAGTAGGGATGTGGTGGAAGGTTTACTTTTAATAGTAACAGTCAGCTGGAGTTCCAGTCCAGTGTGCCCACTAAAATGGCACCATGCCTGAGAATAAATGCCAAAAAACTAACTCCTTTTAATGCAGCTGTTTTGAAGGACCAGCCATCAGCATGTAGATGAGTGTGTTTAACCCCTTGAAGTCACAGCAACCTAACTTGCTTAACAGTTGTGGCAGAAATACATTTGCAAAACAAGAAAAATGTGGTTCCTGCCAACAGAGCCTAAGTTGTTCAATCATTAATTAATATTAGGATGGCTTTTAACTTTCTAAGTCACCAGAGTGCATGAAACCTTGTATTTCACAGTTTGTTCAGAAAAAAAGTACTTCTTTTCTAATTAAATGTGTAAATCTTCACCAGCTTGAATGTACTGTTAGCTATTGCAAAGCACATGTGACTAAGTTTGCATTAATGTCAGTATTGTTCTACTGGTTTTATTAGGATTTTCTCCTCCTTTGCTACTATACCATGCATTGTAATCTTAGAAACTTTTCACTTTAATGAATTAGCTTTAAATGTGTTGCTGCTTTTTAGATTCCTAGCTGCTGTAAAATAGCTATTTTGTGTTCATTTGATATAGAATTGTAAAAACTGCATTTATTTATACAGAGACATTTATAATACTTATTTTACAAATGTTCTTATATTCTGAATAAATTTCTAATGCTGTTTCTGTGCCTTGGGAGATGCTTTACCACACCTTGTCATCTTATTGTTGAATGAGTCTGCTTAAAGGTACCACAGAGACTTCCTCCAAGATAAGTTATTGAGGGAGATGGTATGACACTGTTCAGTAAGGTTCCCGTAACAGAGGCATGAAAAGTTGGTAAGAATGATCTGATGACAGGTTTTAACTGCGCTCAAGAACATTAATACTTGGCACACCCCCTCCACAGCTTCAGTGAACAGTATAGAAATGAAAGGGCCTTTTCCACACATACAGTTGTTTTTATAGCAGTTATATTCCCTCTCCTTTCCCTTGCAAAAAAAGCTATTTTGTAAACATTTTTAAAGCACTGATTTGATTTCACATACTTCCTTTCTCTAGTACATCCAACACCTTTAATTTTTTTTTTTTTTCATTGCTTTTTGGGCCCCCTATTCACCTTTATAACTGACTTTAAAAAAATACCTCTTTTCCAGAATACAGAATCCGTGCTGCTGCTGGGCTTAAGGCAACATTTAAACATTCCACAGTGAATGGAGAATGCTGCAACCTGCACCAACAGCACAGGCTTTACATTTCACACTGATCAGCAATATTTGTGTTCATCTCAGTAATTCATTAAGTTTTTACGTAAAGTCATTTAATTTTACAGATAGAAGTTACAGTATAGAGGAAAATGGCAATTTAGTCATAACCTCTTAATAGTGCGCTTCCATTTCTGAATCAACGAATAACAAATCACAATCGCCAGTACAGCTGACATTACAGGTAGTTAGAAAATTTATTTACTAAAATTGAAGAGATGACTAATGCAATTCTTCTTCAAGATAACATAAAGGAAATTGAACAACATCTGTAACTTTACATGGTTTTAACCTTGTTAGCTGTACATACTTTCTTGTTAATTAGCACCAATATGCCATTTATATACGAGTGAGGAAAACAGATCAAGTTCTTGAGCTTTAAACAAACAGGAGGAAGACATGACCCATCACACATGAGCCTTTATGATAGCTCCCTATTTTCTGCAAGGCATGTGATGCTGCACAGAGAAGTGTTACCTTACGCAGCAATACCTGGGTCAGCCTGGGTCCTGGAACACATACAGCAATCTATCATTATGCCAAAAATTAACAAACAAAACCCCACCTTCTTCTGTGGAGTGTGTGTTGCTTTTTAATGTTAAGGTGCCCTGCAGACCCAGCTAAACGGCTCCTCAGGGTGGAAGTACAGCTTCCACATACTGTAGTGCCAAGCAGATATAATAAAGTTACATAAGAATCCCATTTTAAGTATAGGCTTGAGACATATTTGATGAGAGCTCTTAATCATGCAGTTTTGCATACTTAACCTGGCAGGAAAAAATATACACCCAACCAGAAAGATATAAATGGTTCATCTCCCCAGTTAAGTAATTTTAACCAAATATGCTTAAATAATTTGCCTAGTAAGTTTTTTCTCAGGGTGAGAAGTGTTGTACAGAACCAAGTTCACAGGATCTGTATTCTTAAAAAGCTATAAATGCCTTATTTTAAAAAATGATGAATAATGCTCCACCAGCTGTAACCCTTTTCTTAAAAGGCACTGACCTGTAACCCATAATGGAAACTAGGAGTTAGTTCTTCCGATTAACAATCATAGAATCCTTTAGGTTTGGAAGAGACCTTTGAGATCATCAAGTCCATTCTTAACAATGATAAAACACTGTTTTCAGTAAATGTCATGGTGGGCCTATTCAAACTTAACCATTCTGTAGAAATTTTGATAATTTCTTAAAAGGAAGAGTAATATTTACTTCTTTCCCAGAAGTATACCAGAGTTGAGAAGGATTTAAAGATTTTCTGTAAAGCTGAATCTATACAGTAAGTTTAAAACTCGACTTAACATTTTCAACTGAAAGACAAGTTAAATCCCACACATTTCATTTTAATGTACTGCTACTAATCCAGAATACTTCCCCTTGTATGATCTTTAATATTGTCAGTGTAATTGCTACATATGTTGTCTTCCTTGTAAATTCACAATCTCCAAGAAACAGGGAAATGCACACACAGCACAAATCCTACTGCATCTATCAGTGCTTATGTACAAGATTAAGAACAGCGCAGAGTAGTGTTTAGCCTACTCTAGTTCTTGAACTACACTATTGCTATCAACATGTAAGAACCAAGACCTATTATGCAGGAGTAGTGACATTTCGAAGCCAAATTTATGGTGAAAGCACCTTCAGTTAGCTTGCAGAAATTGACCTTAATTCATTTAAGAAGTTATCTTAAATAATTTTGGTTGCCTCACAAGCTGCAATATTGTAGTAACAAAAACTCCGATTACAAAGTCATGTATAAGCACCAGATCAACTTTTACAGTGTAACACAATTTCTGTAAGTAAATAGATCTGAAGTCAAGACAGGAGGCAATTCTACCAGTTCTCTGTAATTTTGAGCTTCCTAACACAGACTATAACCTCCTAACTTAAAAGTTGAAGGCACTTGATTTTACCTCTGGGGAAGAAAAAAAAAAAAGCAACAAAACCAACACTTCTGTTGCTCAGAATTTATAAAAAACAAGTGTATGAGGATTAAACAGACCCCTGACCCAACCACTGGGCAGTTGGTCACCCACGGGGTGGCAATGCTGTCTTGCACCACAGGATATTAGAGCTTGGATTCTTAATGTAGGCTCTTGCTTTTCACACCAGAATGACAGGAGTGCTGCTATAAACCGCAAATCAACAGAAGCAACTGTACTAAAGTAAAAACTGGAAAACAATAATTTATAATCTGAAATTACAATCTGAGACCAAGTCTGTTAGCCAGACCCAAAGCTTGCCTTGTTTTTAAAAACTTAATACATGTAATGGACATAGGTAGGGGAAGGAAAAATACAATAAGTCTTATTCTCAAATGACCAAATTAAATTAGGAAGGCTGGAGCACAGAACAGAAGCCTGGAAGAGTGACTAGGACCGAAGTTTTATTACAAACTATTTATGCAAGGTTGGTCTAAAGAATTTATATTGTATTAAAAAAATACTTTGATTGTGCGATAAATAAAGCTATTTCCCCCCTTCTTCCCAGAAACCTCAGTTTCCGTGCTTCAAACTAAGACAGCTACTCTGAAGACTGCATGTACATCAAGGAGTTGATGTTATCAGCATTCCAATACATAACTTACATCATTCCATTGAGCAGATCCCTCTTCAGTCCAAGTTCAAAGTTTAGAGCATTCTGTAAAGGATAGGAGCTAAAGCAGGGAGTTCATGTAGCACCAGAAACCGCAAACTAGTACTAGATTCCCAGCATTCACACATTTGTAGTTTTGCTGTTAGAAAGTTTATTTCATGAGTTCTGTAGTTTCAAGAACACTGAATGACAATTCATAATCTGAATAACCCCTTACAGGCAAGCATTCTCAAATTCAGCACTGTTTGTTTTTCAAGTATCTTGACATCAGCTCTTGAGTTTGACAGGCAGTTACTCACTTCTCTGTGTAGCTTCAGCAAAATGAAAACTCAAGAAACAATCCTGCATCTTACTTGTTATTTTTTCCACTGTTTTACAGAAGATAATGTAAACTGTACTTCTAAACTTAGAAATATACTTAATTATAAAAGGATGTTGAAATAGGAACATAAACAATAGTAAACAATTCAAGATGTTCACAGTGGGGCATGGTGGAACCCCTAAGGTAGATCCCATGCCACCATACTTAGATTGTTTTAGAAACCTTACTGAGAAAGAAGAAAGCAATGCTACTACAACAAATAGAGTACCCTTATACAAAGAAGTTATTGCATATTTATCACATTTATTTGCAACTCACATTAAGGCTAGATTTACTAAAACCATGACATGTGTAAGCCCCAGTTTGGGTTGCCTAATGAAGCAACCAATTCCTCTTACACTGAACCGACCTCTCACCAAGGAGAAAAAAAAAAAAAAAATGACACAGTGAATATAGAGGGCAGTCAGCATTTCCTGTTCTTAGGACTCACACGATTCATTCTAAAGAATTCCTCTGTCTGGGATACAATTTCCCAAACAATTGACAAAAGCTCCAAGTTAATTGTTTCATCAACATCCCCTTTATTTCACAAAGCACTACATGAAGCATAACTGCAACTTATTTGAAAATTCAGCTTACTAATTAAAGATTCCCACAGCCTGATATTTAATCATGCCTTAGGAGGGTCTTAACTCCACAGGCAGTAGCAGCCTCAGGATATGAACACAAACTTCTGCCTCACCATGAGTAAAGGCACTTCTCCTGGGAACTCAACTACTTACACTAAATAAGTAACTGAAGGTTAATTCTCTCCTGAAGCTGAATGACAACCTCCTCCAGCATTATCCCACCTTCTCAATTACTGTTCTTTGCCATCTACTGTTTTGAACAACCTTTGGATACTTTTTTTTAAAAAAAATAAAAAAAGACAAAGCTAGATTGAGCTATTTCATGATTTGGTCTTGAAAGACAAGTACCTTGGGACTCTTGTCCTCCAGAAGGAGGAGATGCTGCAGTCTGTTTCTCCAATTGACTGATACATAAGTTCAGCATTCCTATCACAAACATTACAGCATTCGAGTTCCAAATCACCTGGTGCCAGGCAGGAAATAAACCAGGAGATAGTTCTAAAGCTATTTTGGAGGAAAAGTACTAGGTAACAGATCAGGTAGGGTAGATGAAGTAGGGTTGCGGAAGGAAGACCAGGATTTTGGTTTTGGATGACACATGAGTTGCATAAAGACTCAGTGCACAAGCATACACTGCAATGAGACAAGGGCATAGTTCATTCAATCAGTGATGTTCCCTATTACTCACTTTTAGAGAAAAAGCCATTCTTAAATCTGGGACAATATGCTGGCTATCACAAGCTGCTGTGACAAATTATTTCAGTGCATTTCTCTCAGATGTAAACATGTTCAAAACACCTAACTTTAAATAATTAAGGTGATTTAACAGTATGTCATCTCAACTTTTAAAGTTTTTTTTTCTGCCCCTCCCCCCATCTTTGATATTTTCACTAAGAAAGCATTGTAGCTGAAAACAACTGAGGCTACATCATTTAAAAGGTAACTGCAAGTGCAATTCAATACTACTGGATATATACAGAGCAAACACTACATGACATCTGAGGACAGGGGCACAGAATACAATACTGGACACCCTTAGAATAGTTATTGCAAGCTTGACTAAGCCATTTAGTGTCACACAATGACTTATTATCCATGCACCTGCCTGCCTCCTCAGTAAGATCTACAGAGGCTTATTTACATTTAGTATAAATTCTACACAAGTAACCTCTCACAAAGTATAAGGTTTTCCTTGTTTAAAGCAGCTGCAACAGGGATAACACAAAATTCTGCAGCTTCTCACCCAGCTGGGGGCAGTGTGTAAGAACTGAAGCTAAACACTTTTGAATGCCCAAATTCTACCCAGTTGGTGTATCCCTAGTGAAGACAGGCACAGTGCAAGAAGTCAACATGCTATATGTTTGACTCCAAGTACTACTGATTGCCAGTCAAAAGAAACTGTCAGTGTGAAGAAGGGAAGGGATTATGGACAAGCAACCAGGACAGAGAAAAGATGACAGGCTGAGGCTAGGTTTGAAATGTGCAACTTGGTTTCAACATCACCAGGGCAGAGGAGTTCACCGAGAATCAGTTTCACTGCCACTGCCATAATATTGCAATGTACTACACAATGACTAACAAGTCCAATATTTTACATCATAGCAGTTAAGTTTAACAAGCTGGTATACTGCAACAGTTAAAGTCAATGACATTCTACAAAAAAACACAACAACTTAAAAAAAAAAAAACCAACAGAATGCCCTCTAATGCACAGCTAGGAACAAATGAACTGAACACTGGAAAGGTACTTTTGTGGACAAAGGCTATACTGCATTTAAAGTGCAACACTTGACTATGCCACTCCTATACTGCAAAGAGAACAAACCCTTCCACACCAACAGTAAGTCCCTGCATTGCATTAATAAACAAAACAAAAAAAAAACTCCTGAGAAAGAGTAAGGCTGGATAAGAAACCCCCTCAATTACAACAGGCAAGTCTGATTTTTGTTCCTACTAAGTTTGCTGTCAGAGGTCAAAACTTTTCATTATGGCATCATGGTCAAACTTGAAACTCAAGAAAGCTGTTGATGAGAAAGCAAATTTGTAGTGGCCATTGCATGCCACAGAATATCCCTCTACATGTTCTGGCAGTGGGTCTTCACTGGAACAACATATCTCATATGCTGCATCTGCTTAAAGAGAAAAAAGCATGAATCAAATCTTAAGTAGTTATCAATGAGTATCAGTAACAATGCAAAGCCATACCTCAAATGTATAATCAATTAATCACAAAATCTCTATGTCTGGTTATAAGGAGAAGTTAACACAAACAACCATATTTACAGGTGCTGTTTTGCAAGTAATTTCTTAATACAGATGAAAGAAATATGGCCCTATTTTCTGAGCAGTAACAAAGAACTGTATGCACTCCCCAGCGCAGTCCAATATCAACCACAGCTAACAGGATAGAAAGCCTTGAAACAACACTCAGTTACCAGCATCGTGTTGACTTGCCCTAAACTAGCTTTGTTACTTTTTACTCAGCCACCTGGTGTAATCTGACCAACAGTGAAGAACTGCAAAACCAACATGAAGCAGTACATGAAGTTTGGGTTAACCCAATCTAAAAAAAAAAAAAACACACACACACACAAACACCACTCAAACTGCCTTGGAATAATATGGCTTCATAACATTTCATAGGTTTGCATATAAGGAAAAACCCTCAACCATCATTGCTCAGGTGTCTTCAGCCTGTAACACATGACAACGGATGAAAATTCAGAGTGTACTTGCCTGTTTCAAAGTTATCTTGTAGTCTTCTTGGATTAAGCCTTTTTTCACATTTCTGGTTAAGAGAATGACCATATATTACACAAACCATAAAGAAACTGCTTGTATTTCTTAGTAGTATAGCTTAAGCATCAGCTAAAATACATGCTGGTTCTATTTGCTTTGACACACCTCCTGATACATGAATTACTCATACCTTGGCATGAATTCTGTTACATTACTTTATCTAAATCATGCTGCAAATCCACAAGTCTTTCAGAAGCGTGCAACCTTTCAACAATCAAACCACTTTAAAATGCAAGCTTTCAGGGAAAAATTTTGAGTGCTTTCTAAATGATTTTAAGCTTTTTTTTTTTTTTTAAATAATGGTATGGAATCAAAGTTCCACACGCATAAGCCCATTTTTCAATCAGCTTGTCCCAAAAAGCAAGGGGAATGCATCTGCAAACACACTGCTAATGCAAACTAAGTTAGCATGCATTAGAGACACAAACTTAGAACTCTCCAGGAAAGAGTTAAGTTTTAGCCCCTGGTACACTGCTGTAAGTACACAAATATAGATAAAAGCATGGGCCTTAGCACTCTCTGTCAGTTAAGAGTTCCCTGGCCTTCGGATTTTATTAGAAAATTATCACTGGGACATGAAACATTCAAACTTCAAAAGAAAGACAATCATGAAAATGTAAATGAAACACCACAGAAGTATTTAGCAAAGTCTGGAAAGAGCCTACAGAATAACTGTGGAGTATTAACAGTTCCACTTGTTTCCATCAAGATCCTACAGATTCCTACTACACTTTTTTTTTCGCTACAGCCAAATTTTTGTTCAGTCAGTTCCTAGGCTTTTAATTCTGGTATTCTCAGACAAATGCAACCGTTTCCTTCTGCAGTGAGGGTTTCACAGAACAAGAGGTTCCAGTTTCTGCATTTTTACATGAAAAACAGAAACAAGGTAATAACTACAAGCCAGACTGGGAAGAGTCTAATTTACAGCCAGTAAACAAGGAAAACTAAAGCCTGGAAAAGCCAGCTGAGTTGCATGGAGAACTGGGGCTCACTGCTGCAAAAAAGCCAACTAAGCAGAACTGGAAAGCCATAAAGAATTGAGGTGGGGGGGAGTAATAAAATTGTGTTTTAAAAAAAAAAAAAGTCAGTGAGCCTTCTCCCAGCCAGCAGAACTCTGTGGAAAATTACACGTAGTTCCTGCAAGGTAACAATCAAAAAATTCCATACTGGAATTCATAAACTGCTGTAGTTCTACTGTATTTAAAATATATATATATATATATTTTGGTGTTCAAGTCACATCAGCATCTCAAGATTTTTGCTAGAGAAAGGGAAAAAATAAGCACAAGTTTTATACTTTGTATCCAAGTGTTGCGTAACAAAACTCCATGCTTACAATAATACATCATACACAATTAAATAAAACACACGACACCAACTTATTAGAACACACTACAGTAGGTTATTCACTTGACAAGAATGTAGAAAGCTACAGGATTGTCCACTAAAACAGCTGACAAATTTCAACCACTAAAATAAGATCTACTCCCAAAATGCAAAATTTGAAGTTTAGTATGCTTGTCCATAGATGTGTATGCATATAAGACAAGAAATGTCTTATTTCTACAAATCCATACCACATGTTTTCTGATCAAACATACTTCCGACAGAAATGCAGTCTGCTTTCTTTCGGCAGACATTTGTTAAGAATTACTGGAACATGTTAATCACAGTGTATTTCTTACCAAGGTATGGTTTTGCTTAACCGGTTGACTGTGGACTCCATTTGCTCGCTTCTTTTGGCTCGAATTTTCTTGATACTGCTTTCTGCCATTGCTCCTTGAGCTCTGACTCTGCCATGAAGTCCAAAATGTAGTAGAGAAGAGTTTAAATGGCAGCATTGAACATCACTGCACCAACACTTCCTATATGTCAATAAAAACTTTCCTCCAAATAAACTCCAGACCTGGTCTACAAAAGATACTGTTCACAAGGGAAGCACATAGAAATTAACCAAACATATACTCAAGTTACAAAGAGCTCCAGCTGTCAGTCTCTCCTGCACTACTACAGAAACTGTATTACACAAAATCAGCACAGCGAGTTCCCATACACTGATGCATATATACTAGTGGTACCCAAAATATTTTGAAGTGTTGCATGGAGGACACCAACATGGTGAGTAGTATTACTGTCTGTACCTGAAACACCACAACGACCACCTGATACCCACTACCTCTGGGATTCTTAGACTTATCTGACATTAAAGATTTTTTTCCCCACCCGCTTTTCTATTTTTGCATACAGTGGTGTTAAAATTCAGTATTTTCATTCCAGAGAGGAATCTTTATGAACAAAGACATCCGTTTTAAACAACCTAAATGTCTACATTTGCCTAAGAAACAACCTACCTTTATTTTCAAAAATTCAGACACCTCAGTATGATTATATGGCTTCTGTGGCTGTTTTGGCTTCACCCACTGCTCTCCTGAAAAGCCCTCTGTAAACACCTGCTGACTACAGCGAAGTTTGGATCTGGTACAGGAAAACAAACAGTTTACAACACAATTTCAAACCTACTGATCATAGAAGAGAAACACTCAAGAACTTTCTATGAACAACCTGGAAGACAAGTTTAAGTAACCTAGAGAGGAAACTGTAATAATGCCTGCTGCATTCACTGAACTTTGTTTTGTCTGCTGATAGGAAACCTATGTTCTGCATAGACAACAGGCTAGGTCCACCTTAGGACTCGTCCTGTTGTCAGTGTTGGTGTTGACCTGATGTAAATTACTGGACACAGCCTTCTCTTTGGGACTAAAGGTTTTAAAGTTTGCTCTACCACTTTTAGCTCAGCTGCATCAAAAGCCAGCAGCACATCTTCCCCTACTGACCCTCACAGGTTTTACCTAGCTACTTCTGACAGTACTTTACAGTCCTGCTTTAGAGAGTTCTATTTTTCCTCTGTGGAAGTGCCAAAAGGACTGAACTTAAAGCACTGAAAGTTACCTACTTGTTTTAGCTTCTGGTTTTTGGATTCCCACAGACAGGACCGAAGAAACTATCTCAGCTCTGACATGTGTGAGATTTTACAAAAAAAAAAGTGGAAAAGAGTATCATAACTTCTCATCCTATTTAGATGCCTATGAGATATGTCCACTTTTTTTTAATTAACCTCTTACTACTACCAGAACAAATACTTTTAGAAAGGGAAAGGGCAAGCACGTTTGTACGATCAATGTTTTATAGAAAGGATACAGTGATGTTAAACTGACCTGGTTCTTACCTAGCTTTTTCCAAGTTGGCCTTAGAGGGTGTGCTCCCTGTAGATGAAAATCCATTGTCACTATCTGAGGAATCTCCATTCTTTTGGGAAATCCATTTCCTCAATGGTCTGTGAGCAAGGAGAGGTGCATAAGATCTACTTACTAAAACAAATCTAAAGAAACTTAAGTTGTCTGAAAGGCACTGGCCTAGTACTTAAATGAACTCAAACATACCTGATGAAGGGAATAGCCATAAAAAATTTGTTCGGTGCCAAACCCAGCTTGGACTTCGGGGTCATGTCATTTCTGTGGCATGGTAATTTGTCAATAGAAAACCATTCAATATTCTAGAAAAGATACAAAATCAAAACACCCACTCCTGTAGCTTTACAGAATGTTAGAATTGTATCAACCATATTATTTCCCTTAATCAAAAAATTACTGTAGAAGACTAATAGACCACAACAAGGTTTTTCACATAAGTTTAATTAATAACAGAGTCATACTTCTGACTGCAACTACAGAGTAACAGATGGTATAGGACATACTCATTGCAAGATATGGCACCTAAAATACAAAAAGGTATTATTCAGCAACCAAATTCTGAATGGGGGTTTCAAAAAACAACCAACCAAACCATTGTGCACTGAATGCTATAAATAAAGGTAGAGGCTTAAAATAACTTTCAAAGCCACAAATACCATTAAAACTAGACCCCAAATACTAGATAAAAAATTATCAGAAAGAAGAGGATTTAGTTTGCACAGTAGTATCAGGATTTGTTATAAAAGAGAAAAAAAAATGGGCGAAAGACAGGATTCGTGTTATACTTTATATAGTATAATTTTAACTATAACTGTATACTTTGCAGAAGGAAGAATTACATCAGGAATTCTGAATGTACAGTGCAGAAGAACTCACATGAGCCTTTCTATTGCAGAATGTAACCCCAAAACCTCCAGTCCAGGTATGATGCATGTTATAGGAACAAGTTACAAAATGAGCAGGTTTTCAATACAGTACAATATAGTTTCAATATAGTGTAGTACAAAAACCACACGCCTGATTTTATTAGACCAAATGAAGACAGTGCTTCAGCAGGGAGACAGATCTGTGATTGTAGGAAGACTTCATCAACATCATGCAGATGGTCACTGTTATACAAAGGAAGGCATTTATCGTACATTTTAGAAACCCTCAAAGTTCATCTTTTTATTCGCGTGTTGAAAAACAGGCTGCTAAAGCAAGAGGCTCCTGTCTAGTCAACTACACTTAGAAAGCCAGATGCCCTGTCCACTGGCACAATTTGCATGAAAATATGGGGACAGAAGTTGTAAAATCTATTGCAACACAAGAAATACTCGAACTTCAAAGATTATGGATAACAGAAACAAAGCTTCCAACTCTACTACCTGAGTATTTGCTTCTCCGTTTCACAATACCTTTTAAAAGCCTAATGGTACACAAACCATCCAACGTTCCCATATTGTGTCTCCTTCCAAACCTCCTCTTTAAAATACGCTATTGTCTAAGTCTGGAGGGTATTAGCCACAAAAGAGAGAACATAATCTTTAAGTTTCTCCTTCTAATGTGTTTTGGTTATCACAAATTAATAATTACATCTTCAGAAGAATGCGTAGTTGTATATACAGCTATAACTAGGTGTCACAAGTTGAGGTTGGTGTGGCCACTAAACAGATGCTCTCTAGCAACC